AAGGGCACAAAGGTCTTCAGCACTGCCAGTTGCCAGAGACTTCAGAGCTACTACTTCAGCACCTGTAGCAACTACCACTGTTGTACCTCCAGTTGCAACTCCTCCAGCTCCTCAGACATCTTCATAAGCATTTGCAGATGCTATCCTCTCCACGCCATCTACGGACACTGGAGCAACCAGCCAGAAGACCACTTTAGGAGCTCCCAAAGATCGTGCCTAGAGTGCCGCATAACACTATGCATTTTCGAGCTTTTTGGTAACTTGTTGCCAAAGGGGGAGGAAGTGTATAGATCATTAGGCTTCGAGAGAGAGTGTGTTTTGCCTTTTGTTGCCTCTCTTGCTACTTTCTACTTTGATCGTTTGCTCGTTTGATTCCTATGCTAATATTTGTGCTTGCTCGTGAGATACTTTTATGATCATGTGTTTGATCATACTATGCTTTAATGTGTGCTTGAATGCCTATCTCCATTATCTGTGTATGATCAATCATGGTTTGTCCTTGGTGATGAGTGCATGTTCTTTATATCTTATCATTTTGGGCCCTCCACCAAGATGTATGTGACATGGAAGAGTGACCCATGATCCTAATCGATTGTGCATTTGCATTCAAAAGCAAATTTTAAATAATGCACAAATTTAGGGGGAGCTCTTGCTTATCACATACTTCTCTAAGCGACGATGTATTTCATTCATATTATTGTTTGTCTAGGCTTTGATTTATATGTTGTCATCAATTACCAAAAAGGGGGAGATTGAAAGTGCAACTAATCCCCGGGTGGTTTTGGTAATTCATAACAACATATAGCTCATTAAACTAATATCCATTCAAGTTAAATATTTCAGAAAGTTCAATGATTGGCATGGCATGTACTAGAGATGTGGACCTGTCAAAATGCTAAGGACAAAGATTGGCAAAAGCTCAAGACTCTTCATTTTCATTTTAGTGATCCAGGATCACATTGAGTCCATAGGAAAAGCCATTACTATTAAAAGGGGATGAGGTGTTGCTTAATGGTCTACTTCTCAAAGTGCTTAGTGATATGCTCCAAAACCCTCAACCACTTTCTCATTTCCAAATATGTCCAAAACCCAAAGTCAAACTCAGCCCTACCGATTTGATTTATCTGGCGCCACCGAGTTCTTTTGACATAGCCATTGCCAGAAACCCTAGACAATTCGGTCTCACCGATATGGATCTCGGTCCACTGAGATGGCAATGCAAACTCTCTGTTTCCCTTCATAACATTTCGGTCTTACCGAGATGAGCGATCGGTCCCATTGAGTTTGCCTAGCCAACTCTCTGTTTACTCATTGCTTAAATCGGTCTCACTGAGTTCATGCAATCGGTCACACCGAGATGAGGTTTTGCCCTAGCCCTAGCACATCGGTCCCACCGAGTTGATCACGTCGGTCTCACCGAGATTCCTAATGTTCACATTTTGAACTGAATTGGTCTCACCGAGTTCTTCTATTCGGTCTGACCGAATTTGGTCAAATATGTGTAATGGTTGGATTTTGTGTGGAGGCTATATATACCCCTCACCCCTTCTCTATTCAAGAGATAGCCATCAGAACGTGCCTACACTTCCACTACTCATTTTCTGGGAGAGAACCACCAATTCATGTGTTGGGACCAAGACATTCCAATCCAATCACAAGAATCTTGATGTCTAGCCTTCCCCAAGTTGCTTTCCATTCAAATCATCTTTCCACCATAGCTAAATCTGTGTGAGAGAGAGAGAGTTGAGTGTTGGGGAGAGTATCATTTGAAGCACAAGAGTAAGGAATTCATCATCAACACACCGTTTATTACCTTTTGGAGAGTGGTGTCCCCTAGATTGATTAGGTGTCACTTGGGAGCCTCCGACAAGATTGTGGAGTTGAACCAAGGAGTTTGTAAGGGCAAGGAGCTCGCCTACTTCGTGAAGATCTACCCGAGTGAGGCAAGTCCTTCGTGGGCGATGGACATGGTGGGATAGACAAGGTTATTTCTTCATGGACCCTTCGTGGGTAGAGCCCTTCATGGACTCGTGCAACCGTTACCCTTCGTGGGTTGAAGTCTCCATCAACGTGGACGTACGATAGCACCACCTATCGGAACCAGGCCAAAACTCCCCATGTCTACATGGCGTTTGCCTTCTCCAAACCCTTCCCTTTACCTTCATATGCAATGTTTTTCTTTTCGCTGCTACACTCTTAGAATTGCATGTGTAGGTTGATTGCTTGACTTGTGCTAAGTTGCTAAAATCTGCCAAGACTTAAAATTGGGAAAAGGCTAGATTTTTATATGGTCAAGTAGTTTAATCACCCTCTCTAGACCTACTTTTGATCCTACAATGTCTCCGCCATCGCTCGCATAGTTTGTCTTATTTGCCACGTATCACTGTGTCGGCCTCTACTCGCGTCCCTCGACGCACTCTGCTCGCCGTTAGGCACCGCAACGCGCTGTGCTCACCGTTAGGCACTACGGCGTGTTCTGCTCGTGTGTGTCAGTGCAGTCTGCTGTTCCTCGGCGCGCTCTGCTCGCGTACCTCCACGCGCTCGGCCTGTGGACACTTTTCCTTGTGTGTTCAATTGCTATTTGAATATATATGGTTGCTCGTCGTTGAGGCACCGCGGAGCGCTCTACTTGTGTCCTTGCGCGCACGCTCTGCTAGCGGTTGGGGCATGTGCACGATCACGTTGGGGGCCCATATGCATGCGGTTGCACCGTGGCGTTGCCACGGTGCAGTTACGTGCAACACGATGGAGTTACGCACTGTAAATTAGAACTACCATCCGGGCGTGGGGATATTCCAGTCCGTTCGGCTTCCCCATTAATTCCCGTGACCATTATAACCTTAGTCTCTTCAACCTTTTGATCTCGCCCCACACAACAAGCACACCCACCATGACACATACAGAGAGGATATCTAGCGGTGCTCCAATGGAGTTCGGTGAGCATAAAGTCAAGACCTCGGGAGACGAATCTCATGATGGTGTACACCATCGATCCGGCCGTGGTGGAGGACTACATCAACACCATGGAGCATTTGCTTGCTGGAGACAAGTACAAGGTGGTCGGCATCGACCTCCAGTACACCATCGGTCTTCCCGACAAAGATCAAAAGGTTGTCGTCGCCCAGTTGTGCGTGCGCCATCATGTCCTCATCTACCACTACTACATGGCCACAGAGCCTTACGACCGTTTCGCCAGGTTTGTCAACAACATCGACTACAAGTTCGCTACGATGGAAACCACCAACGATGTAAAAGCGCTCAGGGTTACGGGCTTGGCCTGCAAAAACCTTGTTGAAATTCGTGAGCACTACAGGGTCTGGGGCAGCACGAAGAAGGACTCCCTGGTTGAACTCGCCTCGGCCATCATCGACCCCTACTACGAAAATATGAAGCAGGATGCCAAGAGAACAAGTCCCGTATCCTGGCACGGGGCCTGGATGTGGCAACTGGATGAACCTCACCTCAGGTTCGCGGCCAAGAGCGTGTACACATGCTATGAGATGCACAGGCGGATCGTTGACATGAGGAAGTGCCTCGTTACCGAAACCGATGAGGCCGGATCGAGCCACAAGCAGAGTAGTAGCGGCAAGCGTCACAAGAAGTAGATGATGATCAGATGATCGTTTATCCTAGTTAATTATGCATGTAATATATAGTTAACTTTGATGTGTGGAATTGTCATGTGTGTAGTAGCCACATATGTAATTATGCATGTAATAGTTTACTTTGGTGTGTGCAAATGTCATGTGTGTGGTAGCCACCTATGTAATTGGATGTTTAATTTGGTTATGCAACCATGTCCTTATAAGTGAGTGAGTGTGTGTGTGTGTGTTGTTGTTGTTGTTCTGTATGCAATCCCAATGCAAAACACACACGTCTTATTAGCAGCAATCATCTATGTTATTATCGGTCTTCACACACATTTCTGATTACAGACATGTTTGCCGCGTATCACATATATCTTGTTAAACTGAACCGTTTCTGTTATCTTGGCTCAGCGCAAACAGTTCATCCGAGTGAACAGTTTGCCCTCTATCGCACACACCTTGATCTGGCTGACCGTTTCTTTTGTTCCACCTAATCACAAACAGTTCATTTGAGTGAACCGTATGCCGTATATTGCACACACCTTCATTTGGCCGCCCATTTTTGTTCTTCTGCCTCATTGCAAACAGTTCACTGAACTGAACCGTATGCCCAGCATCGCACACACAACTAAAATCTGAACCGTGTTTGATGTACCCGCCATCGCAAATGTTTTGCATCTTTCTTGACCGTTTTTACATCATCGATTGCGATTATTACATCACACACAGTTTCATCGAAGGGTCTCTGATTGTAGTGTCGCGTTAGCAACATCCTACAGTAGTGACCCTTACACTTGGGGATTGTCGAACCACTCCTATGGAAGAGCAAGCATGGCATCTTGATGGGAAGCCTGACAGCAGGCCTGCCCCCGGGCCCAGAAGACGCGAAGAAGGCCCAATAAGAAGGGGAGCCCAGGGTTCTGATAGAGATCGGAGGGTCGTCTTGGCGTGCAAGCCAAGATGGCAGAGGCGCGAGGTCGGTTAGATCCCTGTGTAAATCTTAGCCTCCGCTGTCTATATATGTCAGAGCTAGGGATGATAGTAATTCCAATCTACTCCCGTAGAAGCATACCCTCGGTAGCTATTACATCCACATCCTTGTAACCCCCTTGCACGAGGTGCCTCACCATTAATACAAATCCAAAGCACGACGTAGGGTATTACCTCGCCATGAGGGCCCGAACCTGGGTAACTTCCTCGTGTTAACTCCGTTCTACCACTTCCGGTCGCATTTGCCACCCTACCGAGGGTATTGACGGTTTTCTGTACTGTCAAGGCCCTCGACCCTTCACACACGATGCTTTGGTTGACGTTCTGCATGACTAAGGTGGCCCAGTTCGATCGATAGCATCCGATCCTGGTCTGGTCCCCTCATGATCAAGGCTCTGTGATTTCAACATTTTCATAAGCACCATGCGGGAAACCGACGTGCAGGAGCCGCCTTCATGGGATGGCTTCATCATGGAGATCAGCTATCTACATCAACAATTTAGGACTAAGTGAGCTTCATGAACCGTTTTCGACAAGCTTGCTGATACTTGTGGGTTATTACTTGCATAGGCCGGCTCCAGCAGACCGACCCCGACCAAGAAGCAGCTAGATTCGAAGACCAGTTCGAAGGCTACTAACGGTGTTACGACACAGGGGTGCACCACCTTACAGAAGTCGTCCTGACTAGGACGATCTGGGGGCCCATAGGTCATTTATATCATGTAACTCTAGACTCTGGTACCCATATATTCCGGGGTCAGCCTAGTCGAATAAACAACATTAAAACCATATAACTTTTGCCTCAATCCTTGATTTTTGTAACCCATATACAATCAATATATACGAGCATGAGTAGCGTATTACCTTGTCTATCAATGGCCTGAACCTAGGTAAACTATACCCCTTGTTGCCATCCAATCCATTAGTCTCGTCGGATGTCTTATCGAGGGATCTGTCGAAAAACACTCCGACAAAAAATTTAAACAATTATCATCGCTAACACGGTCTCACAATCATTTCAACAAGATTTCCTCTCTGAACCACTTCCCTTAGTTTGGACACGTCAGCGACACGAGGTTCACCTCGTCAAATGTATGAATTCAAGACAGTTTTGAAGTTTATTTGGACTAGCACCTGAAGAAGGATTTCGCTACCAATCAAATGTCGGATTTTTGAGCATGTCAAATTGAATATCCATGATAACAAATTAGTATGTTGTTGCGAGGATTTGCCGTGTTTGCTAAAGGAAATTGCCATCCTCAGGATATCATAATTTGTCATGAGAAACGTTTGATTTGATGCTTAGACATTCCCGGAAGAAAAATATCTCTATCAATCTAGCAATACTAGCAAATTCGAATTGAAGAAACATTCGCATCTACTGCTGAAAACCTGGGGAAAACTGAGGAAGTCGTCCCTTTTCGTGTACCCTTCCTCTTCGCCATCTATGTCGCGGCCGCTCCCCCCGATGCTCTCCGTGCCGGAGAAGAAGACGGCCGCCGCCGAGCTCTTTCGCGACCGCCACTTCTTCAACTCCCCCGTCTTCACCGATCTCCGCGACGCCCGCGCCTCCGTCTCTGCCCCGAACCCCCAAACCCAGCCCCCCTCCTCCAGCCGCGCCCTCCTCCTCCGCTACCACCGGCTCCTCTCCTCCGCGCGGGACGACCCCTGCGCCTTCGACGACAACCTAGCCTTCACCTGGCACGATGCCTTCAGGCCCAACCTCAAGCACACCTCCGCGTCCCTCCGGTTCGAGAAGGCCGCCGTCGTGTTCAACGTCGGCGCGGCCTCCTCGAGGATCGCTGCGGCCGTGGACCGGGCGGCGGAGGGAGGGGTCAAGGAGGCTTGCGGGGAGTTCCAGCGCGCGGCGGGGGCGTTCCGTGCGGTGGGGCAGATGATGGAGGGGGGGGAGGGGACGGTGGATATGAGCCCGGAGGCCGCGGCGATGCTGGAGCGGCTCATGCTCGCGCAGGCGCAGGAGTGCTGCTTCGAGCGCGCACTCGCGGCTGGAACGTCGCCGGCGGCGTGCTCCAAGGTGGCCAGGCAGGTGAGATTGGCTGCCCTTGCTTGCCGTGTGCTTCTTTCCTAGTGGCATTGCATCCATACGATCTGTGATTGTTCTAGGTTCCACTTAGCTTCCCCTCGGTTTTAGTTCAATTGCCTGCCCTTGCCTGCCGTGTGCTTCTTTCCTAGTGGCATTGCATCCATACAATCTGTGATTGTTCTAGGTTCGCCTTAGCTTGCCCTCCAATTTCTGAGTATCATAAACTACAATGTCTTTACCTTACAACAGAAAGCAAAAAAAGTGACCGATAAGCTAAGATATCCAAGAGCGCACATGATAAATTCCATGATCTTTGGGCATCCACCAGCCGGATCCTCAAAACATCACAGGATAAGCAGTCAAGATGGTGGCTTCAGACTTACTGATATACAGTATTATTTTGTAAGGTCTTTGTGAATAATCAATAAAATGGCTGCATGCATCTCCCAGATGCAGAGGCCGGGGGTCATCCTCCTTTCAAAAATAAAATAAAATCACAGGATAAGCACCCAGAAATCTCAGGCATCAGTTCAGAGTTCAGACGCTACTCAATCACCCCAGCTGGAACCAACAGGAAACATAACTAGACTACTAACACCTGAGAACCAAAAGTCCTGACGAGAATCAGATCACATCTCAAAAGTCAAAAGGGGCAACTACTCCTTCACTTCTAGATCCTGTTCAGTCCAATCCTCCATCCATGTACCGCATGAAACACCTCATTTGCTAGTAGTTCGAACATTCCTACCCCCGACTTTAGCATTTCTTGATCTCCAATCATTAAGAAATCTCGCAATCATATTAACAAGAACGCAAGGATCAGTGATTTTAAGATTGTCAAACATCACACTATTTCTCAATTTCCAAACTGTCCAGAAAATATCAAACACCCCTGCCATCATCAGTCATTTTTCATTAGAAGGTGCAAAGTAGAGGTTGTGAGGCTAATCCAAGGTTTACGCCAATTGCAGTATCCAACTCTCCCTAGCCATACTTTATCTCCCACGTCCCACACACGCAAGGTTTCGATTCTATTTAATGCTTGCACTAACTTTGATTATGGTAGGAACCGGATCCCTACCAGGGCGTAGTCTCAGGTTGTAGGGGTGGAAGGAGGGATGGCGTGGAGGAAGGCGTGGTCGCCGGTGCTGGGGCGCCGTCGTTGCGTGCGCGCGCGCGCGGCAGGGGCGGCGGCTAGGGTTAGGTCTCCCGGCTCCCTAAGGAAGCCGATCAAATATGATTGCTTCTTGCTTAACTTCAAACGAGTCCTTACATGAGTTTATATAATCTCCAAATATGATGACTGGGCTAAGCCCCTAATAACGATAAGATAACTGGGCCAGGCCCGTAACTGCCTGGGCTGTAGTATATGCCGGCCATTACAGATTATTATAATTTTCTCTATCACCTTACGAATTTGGTGTATTCTATTTTTTATCCTTGCTTTATCATCGCCGTGCTGATATAGTTTTATATTTCAGATTAATTCGGTGTACTATGCTTTGAGATCATTTTTTGTCGAATAGAAATTAATTTTCAAGAATATGCATCTTCAGGTAGAGGATACTAGGAAAACATAAAATTAGTCGGAAGAAAGATGAGAAAGAGCTTCATAGGGACCCCAAAACCAGAACAACCGTCATGAAATGTTAGCTTGCATGTCTCAGGTCATATCTTGCCTTATCATCTCATCCTCCATCTTAGCTATTAAATCTAAATATGCAAAAAAATAATTTGTTCAAACCAATCAATCTGGTTATAATTTCTAGTACGCCCTCCGTTCCATAATTCTTGTCGTGGTTTTAGTTCTTGGTGAAGAGCCATGTATTTTTTGTGCAATCTAGAGGTGGTTTTTCAATTGAAGTTAGGATCATATTGGATCTAAATTCTGCCAGTTTATAACTGTTTCTGGTTGCAACTGGTCCAACATATCCGTGCTGCTCATGTCTGGTTTGCTAGGATACTCCAACATGTTCTACCATTATGGCTTGATGAGGATCACATGTTATAGGTATGTGGGGGGAGGGCGAGGTTGGTAACCTGTTAGCAAACTGGTTGTTGCAAACTGAATTGTGAGTTCCAAAGCAGGCTTAAGCACCTCCTTGTCTACTTTTTCTGGGGTCTGGTCCAGTTTTTCGTTTTGCTATTCATATGGATGTATCTTTGAGAGAGTTCCATAACAGGCTGCCCTGCACAAGCAATCTTTTGCTCTCTTATTTTAGATTACCTACCCGAGTGCAAGATTGGTGTAATTATATGCCTGTAATTTTGGCATGATGTCCGGTCAGCATTCCATGAGAAAAGTACTGGAGTATGTTTCTTGTTGGATTAGCAAAACACCAACTGAATCAGAATCTTTGCCATACGCTATTAAAGTGCGAGGGTCAGTAGGTTCGTGGGCTGAAGTGGCAAAGATAATAGAACATATATTTTGCATATCTGAGCATTTTAAACACTATAATTCTGTTCAAATGCATAGAAAAAATTTGACATCAGAAAAACATTTGCCTCTGGCCTTATGCAGGCTGCCTTGTACTACGAAGAAGCGTATGCTGCACTGGTTATCCCTCCATTGCAGAACCACTTTGAAAGATCATGGTTGTCTCACGTCCAGTTGAAGGCTGCTCAATTCAATGCAGAAGCTTGCTATCGGTATGCTATTGAATTGCATGACAAGATGGAAATTGGCGAGGAGATAGCTCGACTGCAGTTTGGGATTAATGCAGTTGTTGATGCCAAGAGAACTGCCAGGGGAGCTCCCGCTTCCCTTTATGATTCTGTTTCCAGGCTAGAACAAGATATGAACCAGAACTTGGAGAAGGCAGTGAATGAGAACAACCGCATCTATCTTATGAGAATTCCAGCAGCCAAGTTGTTGTCTCCCTTGCCATCAGCTTCACTTGTCCGGTCTGCTTCCAAGAGTGAGGTCTTGGATGCAAAAGCAGAAACTGGCCTTTAGTCCTCATAACTGAATGCCTTGACATTGTGAAATGAAGCAATGGCACACATCCTGTGCCGCTGTTGCATGCTAAAGAGTGTCTGCTGCAGCAGAGATTATCGGAAAGTCTCGTATAGTCGTCGTGTATCTAGGGTGTAGCTACAATGTGTGTTGGCATGTCAAGCTAGGACCGTTCTAGTTGAACCTTGAGAAATGCTTGGTAGGCTGTTGCTGCTGGAATCACTCAGGCTTCTGTGATACTCCTTTTGTGCCGTAATGAAAAGTTCATCTGCTGTCAGCCGTTTCAGTAAGCACACACTTTTCCTGTTTTAGCACAAGTTTATGTAAATTCTTTGCACTTTGTTTACAAAATGACTTCTCCTTTTGGTAGTGTTTGTTTCGGCGTAGAATTGCAAAACCGCTTGTTGATCTAATCTTAATATCCAATGTGTTTTGTTGTTGTGGATAATGAAGTTCAGTATGTGTGAGCAAGAACATGACAGGACAATTTCTTACCAGGACTGATTTGTAGGAACAATTATATCTTCTCAAACTATTCACAGTCGACATGAGCTTAAGAAATTCTAGATATTAGAAATGGCTCCTGGGAGCATTTTTTTAAACAAATGCCAAGAATACTTTTTTTACATGTATTTGTTCTTGCCCTTTCAGTTGCTTGTAAATATTCACAAAGTTGTACTAAAGCAACGGCAATTAACATGGATCGGAGGGAGTAGAAAAGCAAAGTATTGTGACCTGTGCTAAGAAAACAAGTTTATAGTGCTTAAAAAATGATTTTACAGCACTGGATTTTCTTTTTTCCCAGATCAAAACATATGACATTTCTGTGCTTTAGCAAAACTGTTCTTTGTGACACTTTATATTCAGTCAGAAGACACGAACATGCATGTTGTCAAACGAAGCCATTTTTTTTTCCTTTTAAATATACTCCTTTTACTGTTTGAGTGCGGAGCCAAAGCGTCACCCGCATGAATTTCACAATCCTTTGCTTATGAATTTCACGGTCTGTCGAGTATTTCGTGTCAGCTCCACCGTTTTCTGAGATTGATAACAGCCCTGGGAAGTGGGAAGTTTACGATGACGGAGCTACAAAATTCCGGACGTTTCCGAAGCCCGGATGCAACAAAAACCGAAAGCGCCAGAAATATTGCAGTACGCAACCCTCTCTCGCCTCGCACAATCCTCACTCGCTCGTCTATCCGTTCCTCCGCCTCTCGTTGCCCGGGCTCCCTATCCTGCACTCCTCTCCCGCGCGCCCACCACCTGTTCGACCCGACGCCCCGCCCCTCCACACGCGCCCCACATTCCAGTCGCTCGCTCGCCGCCAATGGCAACGACCGCCGCGGCCATGGCGCCCCCCTCCACCTCCACCTCCGCCTCCTCGGTCCTCCTCCTCCGCCGCCTCCCCTCCCCGGCCTCCGCCGCCCAGCGCCGCTGCCGCCTCGGCCCGCCGCCCCGCCTCCGCGCCGCCCGCCCGCGGGTCTCCCTCACCAGCGACGTCTCCTCCTCGTCCGACGTGGCCGAGGAGGAGGCCGAGCACGCGCCCAAGGTCGGCAGGCGCGTGCGCGTCACGGCGCCCCTCCGCGTCTACCACGTCGTCAAGGCGCCCGACCTGGACATCCAGGGCATGGAGGGCGTCATCAAGCAGTACGTCGGCGTCTGGAAGGGCAAGCGCATCACCGCCAACTTCCCCTTCAAGGTCGAGTTCCAGCTCACCGTCGACACCCAGCCCAAACCGGTCAAGCTCTTCGTCCACCTACGCGAGGACGAGTTCGAGTACATCGCCGACGAATGAGACCACTGTACCTACCTCTCTGTAACAACTGTACATGGCCAAGTAAGCCGACCGCCTTCCTCATATACAATAATAATGGCCGCAGCGTAGGCGTGTGTATATTGTTCCGGTGTGTGTGTGTGTGTGTGTGTGTGTGTGTGTGTGGTGAGAGGGATGAAGGCTGAAGAGGGTTGGAATTAGGAACGCATGACCAGGAAGTTGATTGCTTGCTTGCTGTCGTTCCCTTGTTCCTCCTCTAATTCAACATCTATTTTTTCTCAGATGTGGGGAATTGTTCGGATAATGATGATTGATAGTTCTAAAATAACACCGATATTTTGCTCTTCCTTGCAGCCTATGCTTGATAATTTCATTCCAAGAGCTTCTGTTAATCTGATTGGTATAATCACATTGTTGCTTCTAGGAAACGTGTCCCCTTCATTTATTGAATCTAGGCTATTTTTTATAGTTTATAAAACATATGTTCTTTTATGAGGGAGTTCGGTTAGGCAACAAGTATCTTGTTTTTGGCCAATACGATAAGTGTTTGGAGTGTAAGGCTATATATACATCGATGTATATATTTTGTTCTTACTGTAACCCTGTAAACTTGAACTCAGATGGCTAAAGTTCGTCTGAATTTGGATGGTCTATGTTGTATAAATACAAGAACATTCTTGAATTAACTTCCAAATTGTGGCTTGTAGAGTGAACAAACAGCTAAGACTCTAAGCTAGGTTCTCGGTTGACTGTAGGTAGTCCTAAAATTTAGTTGCTTCCATTCATTATAATCTATGGTATTATATACTTTCAGTGGAATGTTCAGAGTAACCTCATAGAGTTCTTTATATCAGCTCATACTTCCCCATTGAACAACAATGTGAAACAGCACATTGGACATATTTACGTCAATATTCTTCTAAGAGAAATGTATGCAGCCATACTGTACCTAGTTATGAACTTACCCTGAGCCTGAGGCACCCTACTACTTGGTGGCTTATTATATGGACAAGACAATGCGAAGGTACCGTGCAGAGGCTAGGCCTCAGACGTGGGTAGGCAGAGTGCACAATCACAATGCGAGCCAACAGGGCAATGTTGGGTTCTCTAACTAATCCTGTTATACCAAGTAGTATTTCTTAAGCAATCAGTTCTCAGCATCCATGCTCTTGGTTATAAACAAATAGCATGTTCTAGGATTTGCTAGCTAACTTAGTCACATCAGAAATTTCATTCTAATTTAAATTTTGTGGCATTAAAGTTGAAATATAGTCCACAAGAGTACATGTGAACTGTTAATTCTTCAGTACTAGTATGTACCATTTCTAAAATGTATTTCTCTAACACATTTATATTGCACCAAAAGTGTGTTTGGATTCCTTCATGGTGTAAGTGTTGCAAAGGGCACATCTGAATTTAGCAAGACAATATGATGGGAGGTTCTAGGAAGTTGCCAACTTCTCTGAAACAAAACTACTTTTGTTCGCTTATAGAGGATTGGACCTTGCAAAACTTTCTGGGTAAGATTTGAATGTTGAGTGTGCAGCAGTTTTACCTTTCCAATACCATATTGAGTTGTGGATGACTGATGAATGTGCTGAAATCTGGCATTTAAAACTTGCTCATGAGATTTTGATAATATTCAAGAAAAATCATCGTACTCTACAGAAGTTGTTTACGCTTGAATATAGTGAAGATAAATGAGCCAAAGCGAAGTTGATATTTTCTTATTGGTTGATTGGATAATTTCGCTAGTTGAACATAGTATAGTCAGAACCACATTATTCAGTAGGAACCACAACAAATATGCCTCATTCAGTAGGAATGTTCGGGAAAATCCTATTCGGTAGGACTATATGATTTTGCTAAGGAATAATGCAGAGTGTAACAATTAAACTTCAGATTGCACATTTGGCACACCCTTAGCTTCTGGGCAGCTATGGAGTCGTCTGACGAATACTTCTGTCAAAACTTTTTTTTGCATGGACCATCACAATACTGCGGCATGCATTTGCAGTCCATATTTTGCAATGTTTGCATGATTGTGCGCCTTTGCATAGTAGGGCAGTAACGACTGTCGGATACCGCGAGACATAATTTATACCACTATGAGACTGATGGTCCTCTCCACTACATGGCATTTGAGGTAGAGATCCTGAGAGACAGAAAGTATCTCAGTATAGTTCATATATCTTCATTATAAGAAGCTAACAGTGTCCATTTCTTGATGAAACATGCACAAATCCAGTCAATACATTCCGAATAACCGCAAAAAGGATTTATCACAACCTTTTTGCTGAGTATTTTTGTGTCTAGTTATGTCAGGAGTGTAGATCGGTTCGCCTCTAGACATATATCATAATCACTAGTATGTACATTGATCCTGGGCCTGTGAACTTTAGATTTCCTTTATTTGAAGCCCCTGAGGTCTTGTTGGCTCAGTGGTCAGTCACTTAATCTATGTTTCTGTTCATGTTTCCAGTGATATGCTTTTGTTTCAAGCGTTTCTTTTGACCTGTAATATACTGTATGTTGTACTGGAGCTAACCAGGTTAACTAATATTACATCCGCCCCCAATTACTTGTTTTAGATTTGTCTAGATATGTATCTAGAACACTAAAGAGTGTCTAGATACATCCATAATCTGGGATGGATGGAGTCTTTTTTCTTTTCCGAAATGGAGGCATAAGATTTGCCTCATCCATTAAATAGTACTCCTTTCGTTCGAAAAAGCTTTGTCTCAAGCTTGTCCCTCAAATGGTTGTATCTAGCACTAACTTGATGCTAAATACATTCATTTGAGGGACAAACTTTTGAGTGCTAAATAAGGAGAAGAATTTTACAAGTGGCCAACGTTACAATATTCCCTAGTTTCTTGGTCCCCGCAATAACCCAAAGCTTTGCCTAAACGGAGGCATGATTCGGGACAGATGGAGTATGATACATACAGCAGCAGTGCTCCTCAAGTCCGAACACTCGTCCTTGTTACCACGCTTAGCACTGTTGTTTGCAGAGGGCTCCGAATGGCGAATTCAAATGAAGGGGCCACCTATATTAACACATACAGTACCGGCCTAGACGCATCCTGCATGTCGTTCATCCGGTATTCAAGTTCAACTCGACCAAACTACGGTACTGAATACTGATGATGCCTTTGATGAGGTTTGCTGCAAGGGGCCCTGGCCTGTCATTGTGCGTGAGGCCTCCTGACTCTGGTTTAATCTG